GAGAAGAAAAAGGCAGAGGAGAAGAAAAAGGCAGAGGAGCAAAAAGCAGCGGCCGAGCAGCAGGCCGCAGCAGGGCAAGCAAACAATGCCACTATGGGAGCCGGTCAACAAGCCGCTGTTGATGAGCAAGCTGCTGCTGAACAGCAGAACAGCTGCAACATCGGGGCTGATCAGGCTGCCCAAGATGCTGCTAACCAGCAAGAGGAGTTGGCTAAGGGTATGCAAGACGATGCTGCTGGTGGAGCTGCTCAAGCAGGAAGTAAGTATCGTCTCCTCTAGCAACGACTCTAGACACTAACAAGCCTAGATGGTACAGCTGGCGTTGGCGGTAACAACGGAAAGGGAAAAGGCAAGGGCAAGGGCAAGGGCCATCATGGTAAGGGAAAAGGCAAGGGCAAGGACAAGGGCAAGGGCAAGGGCAAGGGCAATGGTACGTCTTAGGTTCCAGAAGAGTCCGAAATGGTGCTAATTAAGATGCAGGTGCCGACGCTGAAGCTGGTGCCGGTATGGGCGCCGGTGCTGCCGCTGATGCACAAGCTGGAGCTGCCGATGCTGCTATGGGCGCCGACGCTCAAGCTGGTAAAGGCAAGGGAATGGGTGCCGCTGCTGATGCTGGTATGGGCGCCGGTGCTGCCGCTGACGCTGACGCTGAAGCTGCTGAGGGTGCTGGAGCTGCCGCCAACGCTGGTATGGGCGCTGACGCTGCCGCCGACGCTGGAGCTGCTGCTGGAGCCCAACAGCACAAGGCTTCAGGCATGAGGCGCAACACGAAGAGGACAGTTACCTTCCGTGCTTGAATCTTCGGCCAGCTGAAGTTGTAGGTTTAGATGGTGGAAATTCTGGGATGAGATGCTCTGCGGTGCAGATGTCTTCTCTTGTGATGTAACATGCACAACCAAGTGCTATATCGTTTTGTAATAGAGTCATGGCCATCGAATTAACAGCACCATGCTAGTCGAGCTACTGCTCCATATGTTCGCTTCGTTGCACGCTTTGATCTTGATATCTTGTTGAGTGCAATGATCCGGCTATTTCTTTCTCGAATATGTTGTTACTCGTGGGTTTAAGGACGATAATCTTCTCTAGTGCCTTAGTGTAAGTAAAGTAAAAGTACAAGAGTCAAATACTCTAAGCACTAGAAATAGAGAGATGTGGCAAAAGTTAAAAAAAGCCTTGGAATGGATATACACCCAAGAGTTGCGGGCTACGTGGTGCAACGACACAATGCATGTTCTTTTACGCGTACGTTGTCCCTGCTGCACAACTGGTGCACATTACCTGCCTGCGCCCACCAATTGGCTCCTGTACTGTATCGGAGTTTGCCTACACACATTCCCAATCTATTCGCATACCCTCAGGACGTCAGGGCGCGTCGCATCAACTCGCGATGTTGTTCAGAATGATCGAATCTTGCGCGTTGTGATCGGGGTATCGCAGCCGCGGCTGCTCTATCGCTCGCATGACTGGTAACCGGCGGCGGCGATGGAATTGCACATCGGGGCAGACGGTTAAGAAATAGCATGTTATAGTCTGCTTCGGCCCATCAGTATTGCGTCGCTAGCTAAATGTTATCAGATGGCGGGGAGCAGTAGTAACATACTGTAGCTGGCCGCACTGAGACGGAAGCGTAAGCGACAGGGCCATGACCTCACGCTAGGCCATATGAGGGGAAGCGCTATGCCCAATACGGCTACGGCTATGGCGGCTATACCAATGATGGCCTCGACAGATAGGCTATGTTGTGATTCGACAGGCGAACTCTCGAGTGGGCGTCGTCGCTGAAACACGGGGGAGATGGGGCTAGCGTATGCGCTGATAGGGCAGCATACGAGGGCAACAAGGAGAAGCTGTAAAAGCATATTGTCTGAAAGCAGTATGTGGACTGTTGCTTTCTAATGACCCAAGATAGATCCAAAATATGTGCTAGGTTGGGACGGAATACGATGTAAATGGAGTATGGCGATGCTTGCTTGTCAGAAATGTGTAGGTGATGTAATTATGGTGATAGAAGTGAAGAGACGAGCAGATGGTGTGTCAAAGTGAGTTGGACGTGTTAGTAGCAGCAGTTATATAGAAAAGGTTCTGAGGCTTGAAATGTGTTCTATGTACACAGTAGCTACTGTGTTTAAGCATGAGCCCCGCCAGAGCTGACATATAAGGGTGGGATCCCGCTTTATACACCACAATGGGAAAATCGGGGCGCGGAGAAGAGATGGTGGCTTGCTTGCCAGGCCAATCGAGGGGCGCACAAGCAGAAGGCCTTGGCACACTAGAGGACGGTACTTTTCGCGCATACTCGAAACGGATAGCCACACACATTGATGTGCCTAATGACCTACTATTGGGCCAAATAGACAGACCTAAAAGCACAACCCTTCCCAACATACTGGAGCACTGCCACGGATGTATGACGTCAAGGTAGTGATTGATTCTCACATTGTACGCGTGCTGTTCCGCCACAGTTATGTCTCAACCTAAATGCCAAGGAATCACTTGAACCACTGCCTATTCATTAATCCTGGTGAGCAGAGTAGGGTTTTGACTACTCGTCGGTCATATTCACAGTAGTAGCAACAAGGGACCATATCGGAGAGCGAAAGGGTGGAATGACTATGCGCATTGCTACAACTTGGATATCAGGTTTTCCATCATCAGACACCTACATTGTCCTGATACTCTCGTACTCTACGAATCGGGTTGCATGCACGCACACAATCCTCCACACCAGCATTGGTCGCAGTTGCGACTGCCTTGCCTCACCGGCAGAAAATCGAATGCAACCGGCCTGTCGTCCTAGAAGCGCTCACTCGTTCCAGGAGCAATTAGGCTAAAACGACATAGGGATCGCAGATCGGAAGAACAAATTGATATGAATCAAATCTTGACCATGACCACCAATAAGTAATCATGTTCAAATGTGCATTCAGCCACAGCATAAGGGCTACGCCCATTGATGAAGCACGTGATGATATCATGTGACCTACTTCTCTGTCGAAGGACCTATTAGCAGAATTATAAGTAGCAAGTTTTGTACGATATTTCTGTTTCTCGACACGTTTTCTTCAACACAATAGGTTAATGCAAACTTGTTCGAAGGCCTCTTCGCTGATACTAATAACTGCGGATCTTGCTTTATCCATTAGACTTACCATATGTGGATAAGATCTACATACAAGATGCGTCATCCGAACAAGAGACAAATGTCGTTAGTACACTGCCTTACGAATCTCTTGCACTTCGAATCAGCGTCAACTTCCATCGTGTGGTCCAACATATCACAGTATTAAAGTGTCAAACTGCTCCGACGGAACCCGAAGAGCCGAAACTCCTCCTTCGGATTGGGGAGCGAACAGGTGTTGCGACAATATACCTCACCTATCGCTCCAAGCTTTCTATGCAACACACCACAGCCGTCTGATAACTAGCAGTTTGTTCTTAGTAGTCGACCGCGACCATCCCCATTCGTGTATCGACCGGCTCTTTCCACACCAAGCTACCATGGGAAGGATTGGCCGACATACGTATCTTGACAATCGGGCCTTGCAGCAACTCCATTCTGTTACCCTGTAACATCACAAAGATACTTTTATCATTTAACTGCGTTCACCAAACTTGTTTTACTCACTTCAACACTCACACAAAAAAGTGTCACTCGTTTTCACTTTCACCTCGAGACGCTAGTCCAAGCTCCCACAGCCGCGCTTTTGTGTGCTGCGTACAAAGCAAGTATAGTCCTCAACCACACCCACGTCAACGAAAACACACACCGCGTCACCAGAATAGCATAACTACTCAGATACCAAGACCCGAACTATGTCCGGTCATCGCGTACTATCAGAGGTGTTGCGCAAAGAACCTCGAATCGACTCAGGTACTGCGCTCTCTGACCCAGTTGTCACATGCAGTGGCCAGTTCTCAGCCAAGTAAGTATATTTTTTGAGTATTCGATTTTACAAAACTCATGCGCTAGCAGAAAAGTCAAGATGCCTGAGCTCCACAATACCAAGTACGACTTTGGTGCCGCTAAGGCCCAATACGGCGAGAATGAGCTTCAGCTTCGGCAACCGGAAGGCTTTCCGATCATTCCTCTTCCTATCACGATAGCGCGTGCTTACGAGGAGGCTGCAATGGCAGCAGCAGCGAGGGATCACTCTGAAGTCGTATTCGACATTTACGAAGACGTAAATGATGGTACACGCAAAACGACAACCGAAGAGGATCATGAAATGATTAACGCCGACGCCGATGAAACCGTTGGTGAAGTAGAGGAACAGGGCAACATCGACGATGAAGCCAGACAAGTGGGTGACGAGAACCACCATGAAGTTCCTCCCAACTCTACAAATGCGACCAAGAGCAATCCAAGACTCGATGTACATGTAGATAGCCTGGGACGAACACGCGCAGCAGCACATCGGCGTAAAGCTCTTGAGACCATACAGCTTGGAGATCATACCGGGGACTTGAAAGCAGAAGTGGCAAGCATGGGCATCAGCAAGAAGCGTACAAGTAGCCGTATCCAGAAGTCTACACAGCCTAGGAAGCAGTCGATTAGGAAGTCACGCTAGGGAGCTTCGAAGTGCTTTTCTGAGATTGTTTGGTTCGTGCGATGCAGCTCGGGGGGATGGATCTGGGCCTAACGGCTTATGTCGTGTAGACCTGTACTGGTTATCGGGACGTCGCGGATAACTTCGCTCCCAAGACAATTGCCAATTCCAGCATGGTAATAGACAGAAGAGCACCTGGATAGCCCATGTTAGCATAGCAATGATAACTCATTGGCACAGGCCACATATCGCAACCCGCTCTATCGCTCGGTGTAAATGGACCCTAGCTCAAGCTGACGCCACTAACCGCATCAGGATTATGTACACTTGCAACCACGTGTGAGCGCGTATTAAAGCTAACGACTCCTGCCCCGCCTTCCCAGCTATCTCCAACATATCCAGACAACGGTATCGGCTTAACTTTGCTTTTCCCAACCCCTCAGTTCCCAACACTTCCGGCCCCGAAACTGCGACGTCAATCAACCTCTCCTTCGCTCAAAGAGCCTCCACGTGTAAAGAAGATGGCCTCTGGCATTCAGATCGAGCTGATACGAGCCTGGTCTAGGGATATCGGCCACGTTGTTGATGCTGCCAACTCACCAAAAGCCGAATTTGCGCGTCTGGCTAAAGCAAAGGGGTGGGAGGGCGGCAATGAGACATGGCGTTCGCGCTGGAAAGAGTGTTTCAAAGAGGAGTATCCATATGGTCAGCGTCGTACGTCTTCTCGTTTCACCATGTATTTGGAGTGTTCAATGCGATGCTATTAGGTGTCATGTTTGAAGTGTGTTGCTGACTTATGACACAGGTCAATTAGCACGTGAAGATAAGACTGAAGCCTTAGAAGATGGCGGAATCCATCTCGAAGATAGGATGCGCAGACTCTCAATCGTATCTGACACCTCATCATTCTCGGTCATTTCCAGGGCGGATTCCTTTGATAGCGTAAGGTCGTTCGACAGTCATGAGTCTTTTGAAGACCTAGGTGCGGTTGTCGATGTTCCTGTTCCACTCAACCCGGCATCGGTCTCCGAAACAAATGAATACAGGGACCCGGTCGAATCGGAAAGAAAGCCCTCACTGAGCAGTTCTGAATGCAAAGCAGACAGCAATCCTGCCTGGATAAAATTCACCAACTTCGTGCACTCGCCAACTGCGCCTTTCAAATCTGAGTTTGAACGTCTCGCTCACATCAAAAACTGGACCGGAAGTGTGAAGAGGCAACAGTTTGTTTCTTTGCTCAGCTCAGAAGTTGCTTTCTACTGGGGTACTGATGGAGATACACTTGAGCAGTACCAAGAAATGTGTCGCGATCTTGGTCTTACTCACATTCCCAGTACAGTTACACAGTGCAAGAAGGTTCATTTCTGAATTCCACCTAGGCACGAAGGAGCAGAGTGCTAATCATAGACAGATCCTTGACCCTTTGAAGATTAACCTTTTTACCGTTATTGACAACAAGAGAAACCCAAAGATCAAGATCGTTCAGTACGAGTCTCTCAGCAAATTACGGAAGAGCATTCGCAAGAGCGGCTGTTTCCCGAGGGATGCTGCGAAAGCGGGTGGTGGATGCTTCAGATCGCTGCTTTGCAGGTTGTAGCCACCCCAATCATTTATGGCCATTTTGGAGTTCGGAGTGTGTGATTTGACATTTGGGCATCGAATATACATGATGGAAAGACCGAAATTGCATCTCTCTTACCTCTGTGTTGAGCTCAGTCTAAGAATAAGCAAGAATAGTATCTAATATTCAATAACATCTACTACTTTCAAACGCTACCGCTGGAGACTAGCTGATATATCGCAACCTCTCAATGCCGTGTTGTGCACTCACTGCTCTTTTACGGATATTGGTCAAGGTAAAAAAGACTGTCGCAAGTTTGGCGACGCGATTTTCTATATCGATAAGAAGAATCAAGGCCGATAAAAACGTAGGTAGCCTAGCTGGATTGCAAGGCTCTTGCTGCCGTTGTGGAGTCGAAGCAGTTCTTCATACCATGACAGGATGCATGAAGGCATTCTCTTCGATGTGGTGAAATGTGTCGCATTTCTTTCTCTCTCTCTTTTTAAACTCAGTATTTCACTCGCATCAAAAACATATCCAGAACTGGACCAAGCGCTAGTCAATATGTTTTGGGGCTGTGGCTGTCTTATGCAGTGGTGCAAGAACGGGACGGCACGTCCTGCTCAGTACCGTGCCATAGCTTGCGAACCAATCCTTTCAAACAATTGAAAATGACCACTGGCACACTGATACATGTCCAAGGCAGCAATTGGCCAAGTTTCGTCCCATTCAATGTTTGCACAGCCCCAAATCTGCCTTGTATGCATGTGTGTGGCACGGTGACACCACCGTGCGTCATTCGCTCAATGCGCCCAGTCTTCACAAGATAGCAAAGCTTCAGGGTTGTTAGCTCATTGCCCTCTAAAAGCTCACAAAAAGCATTAGGCTACAGCGATACAAGGGGGTTCTTCTTTGTGGTGGTTTGTTGCCGCTGCGGCGTCATGCATGTAGCCTCCATGCCGCATACGATGGATTTGTTTGTTGCCCCAGGCTGTGAAAGTGACTTCTATATCAACTGCGCGTTAGAATCTATGTAACTTACCATCTCATTTTCATCAATACCTAGAGCGAAAACCTCCGTGCTCACAAAAGTAGCTGTACCAGCACTCCACTCCACCATGTCTCCTAACTGTCCCCACTCTCTTCGTAAGTACCACCCCCCTCGTACCCTGAATCCCAGCTAAACCACCCCAAGCCACACCATCCCCTACCCCCTCTCCAAAACCGCATAAATCCAATCCCGGCGGCACCTGGTTCTCGCAATTCCCCCCCTTCGTCTACGATCCCACCGCAGGTCTAAAATCCAACTTCGAGCGCCTCGCCAACGCCCGGAACTGGGGTGACAAACTCAGACGCAAGCGCTGGAACCAATGTCAGGCCGCCGAATTCGATGCTGCCTATGGGAAAGATACATCCAAGTTGGAGTCGTGGCAGGCGCTTTGTCGCGAGGTGCTTATTACCGAGGTCCCGACGAGTATTACACAGTGCAGAACGGTACGTAACAAACAAAGTTCACAAAAAAAAAAGACCTTGATAGTGATGAAAATGGAGTTGTTGTTGTTGCTAATGTACGATGTAAGGTTCTCGGAAGCAAGAATGTACTGGTTAACTTGGTGAATCTGATTGATCATCGCAACATGGGGGTGCCTGTGATACGGTTCAAGAGTTACGCGGCGTTTAGGAAATATACGACTGATGGAAGGATTTTTTCCAAGGAGAAGGCGAAGGAGGAGGGGTTTATTAGGGCGCTTTTGAGGGTGCTTTAGTGGGGGTGGTGTGAGTATGAGAATGGGAATAGGGCGGGGTCTCTGTGTTTCTCTCCTTTTTACTCTCTTTAGGTAGGAGTTAAAGTATCCATGCCCTATCTTGAGAGAATGAAAGAGCTTAAAATATATCTTCTCGTGCCTCTATAAATTGCTAATTAGTTTTTAAGCCTTAGATCGAGGATAGCTCTGTAGCTACTCTTCTTCCCTCTTGCTGTTTTCCTGTACTTTCTCTACTCTTCCACTTAGCTAGCTCGTTAGAGGAGCTTGATCTTATTGCCTAGGAAGGCTAGGCTTATTTGTGATTTTTTAGTGTTTGTTTTATAGCTTGCTTTACTAAGGAGTCTACTCTATATAGCTAGGAGTAGTGTAGTTAATTAGGTGTAAGGGGCTGCGCTCCGGGGAGCAATCGCGAGGTATACAAGGGGTTGTATTCGATAAAGAACTAAACTTCTAAGTTACATAGCTACTTGTATACGTTACAGGTAGTCTAAATAGGGTTTAACCCGCTCATTACAATTAGGCTTTAACGAGTTAATGGTAGTAAGCGCAGCGTTAAATGATTGCATTATAGTCATGTTATAGGTAATCAAAGTTAATAAAATGATTAGTGTTAGGAAAAGTAGTAATCCGGCGTTAGCCTATCCAGCACCTCTATAAGCAACACCAAAATCGCATCTTGAAGATATTCCGAATCTTAGGAATTGGCTCGAAGGAAATACACACCTTTCCGAGATGACGAGACGATTGAGGCTTCTAGTACAAACACAGTTGCCGCTAATTTCATCTCTATAGCTTCAACAATAAAGCTGCCTCCATTGCGACGTTCATTAGTGGTCGATGAAGCTGAGATTGATACCATGACTTGCTCCCACGCCGCAGCAATAAGGCGAATCATTTCCAATCTCGCCAAATGCCACTTGGTGTTAACATTGATGCGGAAGAAGAAGCTAAACTACCTTTGATAGCTCAGAATCTATGGAGCTACGAGCAGGCTACAAATCGGTATCGAGATCCTGATGAAAAAGGTTACGTATGTCGAGGTCGCAGGCCTGAACTGGTCGGGTTGGAACGCGATTATACAACACCGACATTCCAGTCTCAAACTTAAAAAAATAATGTCACCAAACTGATGAGATAACAGCAATTGATCTACAGCATTTTTGTTATTGTGTAATCATTGTATTTAGTCGCAACTTATATGGTAGTAATATGACGTGATTACAGTTTGGACACGGATACGGATTGCTATGTTAGTAACCCCTCTTTAGGCCGGGGAAATCTGGTTCTGAGCCCCACAGGTGTGTAATAGTCCATTAGACAATGGTTCCTGCATACCTGAGTTCAGAGGCCAATGTTCCGAAGCTCCGGAATCTCGTAGACAACAACAACTTGGTCGTATTAATTGCCTCGGATACATAGTCCACTCGGATGTACCATAAACATGTGGGGCGTGAGTGATTGCGCTGGTTGGTTTGCGGGTGGCCCACTCGAAAGATGTAACCAGTGCTCCGGGCCCGCATCCGAGCCCATGTCCGAGCCCCGAAGAGATAGAAGCAAGTTACAGCATGACTTATTTAATAAAGGTTGACGTATATGATCGACTACATTATTTCACATCTCCGCCAGGACCCAAATTTGTACACAACAGGATCTTAGCTGTGCTTCGTAGAAAATGTCTACTGAAAAGTCCACAACTCAAAATTATGAATGGATCATCCATTTGCCGATTCATGTCGCAAACCCGGTACCTAAGGAAAAGGCAATGTGAGATCCCAAACGTTTGGAAATCCTAGTCATCATAAAAAAATAGCTTATTTCAATATCTAGAGAGCACAGAAAGCGCTGTAATCAAGAGGTCGACTTTTGGCTTTGTGAGGGTAAGTTAAAGTCATACTCATTTAAAGTTGCTCTTCCAAAGTCTGATAGTCGGCACTAAAAATAGGACTGGTACTTGAGGAGCCTGCCGCCAGTGTACCTGGAGCGCGCATCAAACGCAGTCACATGATTGTGAGCGCGCCGTCTAAGGAAGCAGTCTTCGCTCGTCTTCGGGACGATATTTTCTACCCTAGTCAATGGGACGTGGATAATGCAGAAATTGAGCCGTTTATTAGTGTGTCTAGAAAACCACTGGGAGATAGCACACAGAAGTGACAGATTGAGGAAATTCTATTACAGAGAACTACACTAAGAGTTACTGTGTGAGGGGGAGCAGATTCTTGTGGGCGGGCTTCCAGAGGTATCTCCCGAACAGAACAGTTCAAGGTGTAGGGATAATCAAGTGCGGGTCTGTAGCTGAGCCGTCGTTTGTCATCATCAGATAATGAATCGCGACACTAATCGCATTATGGGATGGAGAGACACCAATGCGCTCATGTTCCTCCTGATCAGTGCGAGCCATACCAAAAACCCTAATCGATGCTTGTACTACCTGTCGAAAACCGAGAAAGCCTAAGATTAGGTCATTCCATAGTAGGCAGTCAGGAAATGGAGGTGCTAACAGCCCAGGCGAGATGTTATAGAGCGTATGCACCGGCTCTGATCATAGTAGTAGTATTCAAGCAGACCCAGTAACTTAAGCGCATGGAGGAATGTCGTCTCTTGTAGGGCTCGATCAAGCCTATCAACACTTGCCACATCTTGTATTAGGAGCACTAATAGTCGGTGTCAAGATTCTCCGGTAAGTAGCATAGGGAAATTCGTTTTCACTCTTCGTAAATGTCGAGATAGTCTAGAAATGAGCCCAACGTCCACTGGATTTACAAAACCTCGCCTGCAAAGTATCAAGCTGAAAGCACTCACAACGTCGAAAATTGATCTGCTTTCTTCTATTAAATCTAAAGATGGGATTATAATGCTATACATCATCCTAGCTAGCAGCGTCGGCGGATCTTTAGGGAAGAGCTGCCCAACTTGTCGGGAGCCTATCGTGACACAGTTTGAAGATCGAAGCCTGCTGTTCGTAATTATGTTGCCATAATTTTTCACCGATAAATAGGTGTCAGCATCATACAGCGGTTTGGAATGATGATTGCTCACCATGAGGCAATCTTTTCTCCAGTCTACCTGGAAAAAAGGCAATCCATAAAGCACTAAAGCTTCGATCAACAGCCAAGGCGAGAGCGTGGCACTAATATGAGTTATCATCTTGGGCTCCTATTTGAAGCCTATGCGTCTTGAACACTCCAACCGATAGATTCCCATGTTCAATTTGCGCACATACAGGGGCTGATTGAATATCGACACTCAATAGTCGACGACTAGCAAATCGGGTGGGACTAAGGATCAGCCGCCGTGTCAGAGCCGAAGTTCTATTAGAACATAGCTCTCGGGCCGCGGAGGAACTGTCGGCGAAAATACAATGTCAGCGGACTGAGCTCACCCGGTCTATATTTTACAAGTGTTTATCATCGAATCAACTAACCAACGTATCTGTAGTATAGCGAGTGACCGGGCATGCTAAGACCCCACCAACTTCAACTATTATATGACTATTATACGCGATGTCTCACCCTATTACTAACAGACGAACTCTACTTTCTTAACTACTACACTATAGCGTCCGTATAGGGTCTCAAACGAACCGTTATAACGTCTAGTATCTTTCTACGTTGTCCGTTTCTTGCTAGCAGTCCTACAACGTAACGCGACAATCTCAATTCCACGCGCTACAGTTATCTACTGTAACGGGCTGAACGCCCTTTGGATAATAGCTCCTCAGTGGGATCTCGGTTTAAGCCGCGCGCTCGCCATCTAAACTACGTTCAGACCGAGCGACGCCCAGGCACTCCGGCATAACCTTTCTCCGACAAGTAAATAAACACCACATAAGCAGAGTGGATAGCTCCTCATCGAATACGACCTCTTGTATACCTTGCGATTGCTCCCCAGAGCGCAGCCCCTTACAAAAGCTAAAGCAGCCGCCCACCGGATAGCCCGCCAAGCCGCCCACAAACGACTTCAAAAAGCCATCCAAATCAAAGATAGGTAAGGAGTCTAGACTTAAGCGCCTTACAAAGCTAGGATTAAAAAATATTATCGTTGGTGGTAGTGGTGGTGGTGCAGAGCCAGCCAATCGATTAGCTGCACTACCATCACCGCGCTCGCGTTAAGGCTGCCCCATCAAGCTACCAGCCAAGTATCAGTAGATATATTAAATAAATAATACTACTAGATTACTACACTACGATTTCTCGTAATAATAGTTTTTGTGTAGAGCTCTACAGCTTCAAGTTTGTGATAGTGTTAGCAGGGAAAATCCGGCGTTGGCCCGTCCGTGGCGTTCACCCGTCCGGCACCTCTACAGATACGTTAGTGGAAATTAAAGTCCGGCAATAATTTAAACAGTGCGTAGTAGTTTATTTAAATAAAAAGTTTACTATAGCTAGTGTAAAACACATAACTAGAGTAACTAATCGATAAGTAAAATACTAAAATTCAAGCCAAACAACACTACTATCATCTATCTTAGTTGAGTAAACTAAACCGGAATGAGATCCAGAATTTACTCTGAGAGTCTCTGTTGGAGCTCTATATATACATATTTGTAGTAAAATGGTAATCGCAAAACGCGTAACCGAACAGGCCCTTCGTTCTATACAGTATGTAACGGGCTGAGAGTGACCGGAGGCTTTAGCGGGCTGTAGGATTACCGGCACTCAAACTAATCATTCGGCGGTACCTATTGAATAGGCTGAGTTCCGAGGTTTTCCACCAACAATGGATTAGTGTTGCCTTTTCTACTATGATTGTAAAATGCTATATATCCTAAATCGCATCTATCGCTTTCTGTAATACTTTCTTCGTGTCTTCATCCATCATAGTCTTCTATACTCACTATACCCCGGACTAACCCTAGAGAAGCATCAGTACCCAACCACATATAACACTTTGCTTGGGGCTGGGTATTGGTCTTGATGGTTGTGGCTGGAAGTAAGAGTGAAGATAAAGAGAGTTGGTTAATCTACTTTTTGCGGCTGTTTCTTTTCCGTGTTGTAGATGAAGGATTTGTCACCTGTGGTTTACTACATACTTAGACGCTGTCTGAGAACACAAATGATGCAAGGAGTTAGTGATATATTTGCTATCGGTGGTGAGTCTTAATTTTGACAGATGCGCTATCTATACCGCCATCGTGTGTGATATACGGCCATTACGCAAGATGCAAATCCGGACAGTGAGAGAGTTTTAGAGTAAGCAGTGGCTGCTGATCTTTGGCTACTCAGATCGGGAATCAAGAACGAAGTTAGGCGGTTCATTCATCATTAAAGAGCTTTTGCAAATAAGAGTGAGACAAGAGCGAAGGATTGCAGGATGACGTGACAGGTCATCTGGAATACTCTGTGAAATCCCATCTGATTACAGTTGCTGCGACACTGCAGCTTCCAGATGCCTCCCAAGCACCCGAAAAGTACCAAATACCTGTAAACACAATCTGCAACTCTCACAGGAAATTTGTGTGACGAGATACAAAACATGCATCCTCAACGAACACGATGGCGACGGAGGCAACGAAAAAGCAACCTCTCAAAGCGATCGAGGATGGAATAAACTCCGGGAGTCTGCGGGATTTCAGCAAAACTAGTCATTTAACCATACGTTACTACCAAGCCCATACTATCCCATTTCCGCTCACAATGATGCCATCGCCTATCCAGAAGCAGTCTGCGGCATATTCAGGGAGCTCCATAACGCAACGCCCCCAATCTTGTGTAAGACGAAACCCCCTCAAAAGCTCGGAAATCTAGACATGCGTGTCGCCAGGCAAATGCATGTGAAGTAAGAGCTAGCCAGCAGCAAGCGTGGAGATCTTTGCTCTTCACAGCCATAGCGCTCTTTGTGTTTCGCTTTACCGCGCCACATGCCCCCCAAATCCACAATTGATATTCCCCGCTTCTTACCACAGCTAGGGCGTACTATCGTCGATCGTATATCAAACGAGGCGATCCCCCAACCATGCGTCACCTTGCGTCCCTGCAGAAGGCACTGCCCGCGCACCCTTACTGTTGGACCCTTAGACCGCCGCGTAGCAATAGTAAAGAGCGATATTTGCCCCCCCCTTCCCCCCTCGAAAAAGAAAGATACACAATGTATAGCTACCATTTAATCGCATTTCCTTTACTATTATCGTTGTCACTGTAGCGATGCAGCAAGAGAACGAGTCCCTAAAACTAAACGACGGGCGCAAGCTCTCTTACGCCATCTACGGCAGCCCCGTTCCCCAACGCACCATCATCTACCTCCACGGCTACCCCTCGTCGCGCTACGAAGGCAAGCTCTGGCACTCCAGCTGCGCAACACACAACATCCGGCTTATTGCGCCCGACCGGCCCGGCAACGGTCTCTCAACTTTCCAGCATAACCGCCGCATACTCGACTTCCCAGCCGACATCCTCGCTCTGACCGAACACCTGAAAATCCACCAGTTCTATGTGCTAGGCGTTGCCGAGGGCGCACCGTACGCGCTGGCGTGTATAAAAGAGATTCCAAAGGAGAGGCTGCTCGGCGCGAGTATAGTGAGTGGGTTGTACCCCGTTAAGCTAGGCACATCGGGTATGATACTGCCTTCGCGAATCGTACTATGGATAGCGCCGTGGATGACGAGTTTTACCGCTGCGCTGTTTGATAGTAAGATGGGGAAGCCGAGCCGGAATGAAGACCCCCGCGTCTTCGAAGATGCGTTATCGAGAGAGATGGAGAGTTGGCATCCGGGGGACCAGAAAGCGATTCGGTGCGCGAATGTTTGGCCGACGTTCGTGGCGATGACTAAGGAGTCTTTTCATAATGGGAGTGAAGGTGTGGGGTGGGAGGCGAAGCTTAATGGGAGTGAGTGGGGGTTTGAGCTTGCGCATGTGCATGTTGGCGAGGGGGAGGTGCCGTTGACGCTGTGGCATGGGAAGGATGATAGGAATTCGCCGGTCGGGATGGTGGAGCGGGCTAAGAAGCTTTTACCGGGGTGTGTATTACGGTTGAAGGAGGGAGAGGGTCATTTTGGTTTCATTTTTCGTGATGCCGATGAGATCCTGGAGGACCTAGTAAGGAGGGAGGGGAAGGATGAGAAGGATGAGAAGGAAGAGTTCATGATGGTAAGTGTTACGCAGGTGTATGAGTAGGTCGTAGCCTTTCCTCCCGTTCTAGAGTCTATTTCTATAGCT